AAGAGCTTCACACAGGCCATTCGTATGTTCATGTGGAACACTAAGGGACGGGGTTTGGAAGTGTAGTTGCATGTGTTGTTATCAGTAGGTTGTCACTAAGATTATCTACTTAAATTTTAAATTCCGACATCTTCTGATCTATGTGATCTTTATTTGTCTCAACAAAGAGTTCTCCATCTTCTAGGAGAGAAGGAACCACAAGCTCATCAAAAATTGCATATTATTTTTACCACAAGGAGGAAAGATATTTGATGTATCCATGAACAAGGGAGGTCCACAGAGGGAGATTTCATCGGATGAAAGTTCTCGTTCAAACTGGTCTTCAGTGTCTGCATTGTCCTTACCCCAGGTTTCAACAATGCCTTACTCCGTGAAATAAATCACTCCCCCAGTTATACATTATGTTTCCATATGTTTGCATCCATGGCACTTGCAACATTTTTTAGCTGTGACAAACTTGCGGATTGGTTTCACTGGATAGTAGTAAAGGGAGGTCACTTGTTGATTCGGTCTCTCCACTTAGGAAGCTATAGTCTGTCAGTTTTGGCAGTCGTAAGTTGGTAGGAATTGACGCTGTGTTTTACGATTCAGCTTCATGTTTCCTCATTCTCCCCGTCGGCTCTCCCGATCATAGTTGAGGGTAGCCACCCATTGGATTTCATGCTCAATGTTCTTAATCAACCGTTGAAGTTGGTGAATCTCTATTTGTATTTCCTCCTGATAAGGCTCGGGCATGTATCTCATTAGTGGCATGGTTAAGGTTTAGAGTTGGGAGGTAAGAGGGAAAATTTAACTTAGATTTGCTGATTTTGAAAATCAGCAAAAGGAATTGATGGTTATGTCAAATTTTTTTGTTATGGTTGGGGGTAGGAAAGAACAAAAATTTTTGTGGGGTGGCTTAAGTGGCGACAAATGACAAGAAACTCTAGGATGGGACTAGAATAAGACTAGCCATAATATCAAATGATACTGAAGGAAAAAGCCCAAACCACAAAAGCAATTTTTATTAGTGGGGAAAAGGATTACAGCATACACCAACTAAAATTAACATCACTAAAAAACAAAAATACCAAACCAACATCTCGAAAGTTTAGCCCAAGGGTAGTGGAGATTGCTTAGGTGGATCGGAATGCCTAGCAGAGGTGGCGGAAGCAAAGATGAAGTGTTTGGCAGCAGATCGGCTGCAGAACAACGAGCCGCGGAGCTGGATGACGATTTGGAAGGGTTGGACAACAGGTTTAGAGCTGGAAGGTGGGCTAGAGGAAGTTGGGGAAGGGTCGGAGTGGTAGAGTTGTTGTGGATGAAGTAGGATAGCAAGAAAATGGAAATATGGTAAGATAAATGCCTCGACGGAGTCAAAATATAGCCTGAGCAACACTCGGACCCTTGGAGACTATCACCACCTCGGACGAGGAACAGCTGGAGCGATACCTCGACGTCAGATGCAGCCCTCGAAGGGAAAATACTAAGATAAAAACCTGAATTCTGATATCAAAACAAGAGCCCCAACTCCCAGCACATCATCTTCTATTTATAAAAAGAGTTGACCCAATTAGTAAACACTAAAATAAGAAGAATAAATTCAGATTTCAAATTTGAGAAAATGATTTAAATAAGGAAGGAGAATAAAAATCATATTTCAGTTTTAGGAAAGGTTTTAAATTAGAAAGCAGAATAAAAATCAGAGGAAAGGTTTTAGATTATGAAGGAGAATAACTAGGAAGAAAAGTAAGAAAAGCCGGAAGGGAAAGAAAAAGGAAAGAAGGGAATAAAATTGTGACTCATTTTAAGGAGTATTTCTCAAGAGAGTCGCCTTATTAATAATCCCCTACATGAGACTAAATGCCTGTTTGGGGCAGCTTATAAGTGCGGCGGCGTTTTTGAAAACGCCGCCTAACCGTTTGGTTAGCGCGTTTTTTGAAAATGCTGTCTGTCGCGTTTGAGTTTTTTACACTAAACGCAAACCACGGGTCGACCCGCGGGTCGCGGGGCGCGTTTCAAGGTAAGTTGTTTATCCTGAAACGCACAAACTGCCCCAAACAGACCCTAAGTTGAACTATTCTAAGTGAATTAGGGTGGATGTCTAGTTATTGATACAAATATGGAAATCTATTGAACCGGATCCATTATGACTTTGTTGAAGATGCGAAGCATTTGTATTTCTGAAGAGAAAATATTTATTGAATATTTGATAGATGCAAGGAGTCTATCGAGTTGAATAAGAGGATCAGTCACTTAACACCTTATATCATGCACATTAAACTTGTAAGAACTAAATGCACTAATCATTCGGTACCGATGACCTGATCCGAGAGAAGAAATGGCAATTAAAAGTTATGTCTAAACTCTCAGTATGAAGGTGTCAAATCACAGATCTTATCTAATCCTGGATGTAATACTTTGAGAGAAACCTATACTAGAGTACTGCTTACGATTCAGAGTTCCTAGGCCTCATCCGTACAACAACCTAGTGCTCTTGGTAGTCAGAAAAATACAAACATGAGTAAACTCAGTCTTAGGACGGTTACAAAAGTGTAACTCTTAATTCTAGAAATCAAGGGTCGGTTTTTGAGTTTATTGTCATGAATCCTGTAATACGAAGAAAACATGTCAGAAATTGCTCAAAAAGAAAAAAAGGGTTCTAAGTCACAGTCACCTCATATGATCACTAATAATGAGACAACCCTGAGTCAGAATCTCCATCTTCGCAGATAAATAGCTAAATTCATCAAATTTTAAGAGGCATCTAAGAAATTCCCATCTCTCACTACCCAGGAATAATCAATTATCTTCCAAGATATGTTTAGCAAGCCCAATCTCATTTTGGGTATCAGGCAACTATGCTTGATGAGATTAATGTCTTAACTAGAAATGAAACTTGGGAACTAGTTGAGCTACCTTTTGGCAAGAAGGCTGTTGGATGTAAGTGGGCTTTTACAGTTAAGTTTCAATATAATGGATTTATAACTCGTCCCAAAGCTTGGTTGGTTGTTAAAGGTTGTGCTCAAACATATAGGATTGACTACTTGTACATTCTCTTTAGTGGCTAAGTTGATTTATGTTCACTTACTCCTGTCATTGGTTGCAGTAAATAATTGCCCTCTTCACCAGTTGCATGTGAAGGATATTTTTTTGCATGGTGATATTTTGAAAGAAGTACACAAACAGCGACCTCATGGGTTTGTTAAACTGGAGGAGTCTAGGAAAATTTGACGTCTTTGAAAGTCCTTATATGGATTGAAGCAAAGCCCTAGAGCATGACTCGGAAAATTTAGTCAAGCAGTAGAAGGGTTTAGAATGCAAAAACCAGAGGTGATCACACTGTATTTAATAAGCAATCCACTTCAAGAATCATTATCTTAGTGGTTTATGTTAATGATATTATTATTACTGAAAGTGATATGCAAGGAATTTTATCATTGATATCATTTCTTCAAAATCGGTTCAACACTAAACATATGGGTTCCTTGAAGTACTTCTTGGGGATTGAGGTATCAGGAAGTAAGAAGGGTATCTTTCTATCTCAACAAAAGTATGTGTTAGATT